GCCCCTGCCCTGCCCCGACCTCCGACCCCACTCAGAGATCCTGGGGTTGGTTCTTGAAAATGCTCTTCTGCAAAGTGCAGGGATCAGTTCGTGGGATCCGCGGGCTGGTGAGGCTGGTTCCTCACAGAGAATCTAATCAGTTTTGTGCTTTCCAAAACATAAAAACCAGCCTTAATCCAACATTCCATAAAACCCAGCCTTAATCCAACATACAAATCTATCTGGAAAATACTGGCCATAAGAGCATGGAAAACTGCTTGTCATAAGCAGACAGGAAATCTGTTTCATTTGTGGTATTGAGACTTTGGGTCCCACAGGTTTGTTTATTCCTTCTGGACCAGAGATGTGTCTTCCTCTAGGTGAGCCAAGCTCTGGTTTTTGTGCATCTTTTCCTCTATCAGAAATCTCTGTCCTTTTCTGAAGGGGAAAAAAGACACTGTGAGGTTTTCTCTTAAAGTTTTGTTTTTCCAAAGAATACAGGCAATTCCTGTACAATGTCTCCCTGTGCTATAGCACAGCCAGCTGAGAAACTTGACAACCAAGGCTTGGCAGGAGCCCAAAGAGAGGAGAGGCTGGAGCATCTGCCATGGCTCTCACTCCTCCCAGTTGCTCCTGCAACAGGTTCAGGACAGTATTTCTTGAAACCTGAAGGCTAATGCTGGGCTTGCCTGAACCGATGTATTCAGGCAGGCTGGGACTGAGTTCCAAGTTAAACCAGTAATGTCACATCTCATCCAGACCACTGGCAAATGGAGCCAGGTAGTCGTGCTGTATGGAGTTGTTCATTAATAAAAATCCCACTGGAGGGAGAACAAGGCCACTTGGGGAATGAGACTGATCTTCTGCTTGGGCTGAAGATCTTGCATTGTTTTATACCTCTTGAGGTGAAATCTTGATTCTTCAGAAATTAGTGCCACCTATGGCACTGCACCAAAGGCCTCCAGGCACCCCTGGGAGCACCATGAAACAACGAGCATCCCCAAAAGCCATGTGGGAGAGTGAGGATGATGTTCCTAGGCCTGCTGTCCAAACGTACAAGGCACACTGTGCAGATTGACGGGAAGGGGATTGAGAGAGAAGCTGGATTTCTCCTCCCTCTGCTTTCCCAGAGATGCTGCTCTGCAGCACTGGCAGCACTCTTTCCTGGCAGCACTGCCTGCTGTCTGGTGCCCATGGCCGAGCATGGGTGCTATGGGCAGCTGGGCACTGCCACACGGGGCGTGAAGCATCTGGGGGCTTCACCTGTAGCCTAGTCCCTGGAAACTTCTTTGAGGTTGTAAAATGTGAGGAGATTCCTCACATTTGATCTCGTGACTCAGCCTGTGCTCCAGAGCTCTGGGGCTGAAGTAGCTCCTTGAAGAGGTGAGGAACAAAACTGCACTGAAAAGCTCAAATTTAAATGCAAACCAGATGTCATTAGAGAAATTGCCTTCTGCTCACTGCTGACCAAGATTTCCAACCCCAAATCCTTTCTTGTAACTGTCAAGAGCCCAGAGTGGGTACATCTGCACCCAGGGTAGGTAAAGTTCCTCCAACCATGGCTCAGTACTGAGGAAAATTCTTCCCCCCTTTTTTGTGACTATAAAGGGAATTAAAGATCCTGTCTAAATGTGTGATGAGACTTCTGTCAGATAAAAACCAGGCAAGGACAGCAGGGATGTGCAGCTGTGCCTGTTTTACTCTCTCCAGGAAGCGGCACTTGTATCCTGTAAAACACAATAGGGAGCAAGCTGTGCCCACAGTGCCCATCCTCCACCACATCCACTCAGTGCTGCAAGCAGGAAGCACACCTTGTCTGAAGAGACAGAGACCAGCCACCACTGATGTGACAGCTCAAAGCCAGCACATGCTCCTCCAGGGCCCTCCTGCTGTAGCCTCTGCCAGCAAATATCCTGCATTATGGATGCCGAGCACAAGGATGCAGTGTGTGGAGCCAGATTTTAAAGAGAGACTCTGGAACTGGAAATTCATAGCTCATGATACCATTTTGCCAGTCTTTTCTGTGGGGTACTTTTCTATTCTTCCTCCCCAAAGGAGCAACAAAATACCAGGACAAGGTGCTTACACAGAGCAGGTGGAGCAGTAAAAGCACTGCTTTTACTCTGTGTCTTTTTTCCTGGATCTTGGAAGAATAGAGCTGGTCCTACATATCATTCTGACGAAACACTGACGAATGTCTGCTTTGCTAAAGCCTGAGATCCTTACACAGAGATTTAGGACAAGCATTTCACAGAACTTGGAGGTACAGGAAGCACAGGGAGAGGAGCCCAGCACCCCCAGTACCCCACCTGCTGTGAGGGGCTGTGCACATGCCAAGGGGTGTAACTGCTTGGAGGGTGGGGGTGTGTGAGACAACTGTGGAGGCCTCTGGACTTTTGCCCACCCTTGCGGAAAAAGCATGTCAGCAGAGAGCCCTGGTACATCCTCTGTGCTTAAACTGTCCCTGGAGCTTGGGCTGCTCCTGGCATCTTGCAACCCACGTGGAACATGAGTTCCCTCAGGCTGGCGAGTTCACCCAGGGCGCAGTGGGAGCTGCAGCTTCGCCCCCTCGCAGCCAGCAGCAGAGTAACACACAGGGCACCAGGAGCAGCCTAGAGCAGTGACCAGGCAGCTGCTTTCAACAGCTTCTCAATGGGATCATGCTGAGAAAAAGGCAAGTCACGTTTATCACTGAGTCAGGTGAATTAAACATTCACATATATTTGCTGAAAAAAATTATATACATCTGTAGCAAGGCTCTCCCAAGTCTGAAAGATAAGCATCCTCTAGTCACTGAATTAAAAAAATAAAAATCTGACTTTTAAATATTTTTCTTTTTATCCATGTTCAAGAGCACAGACAGTTTATTTTGTTAGCACATTTTGTGAAGGATGTATGTGTGTGAATAGCCATGAAAACCAGTCAAAATTTGGCATTTGTTTGGGATATGATGGAAAAGAAGAAGCAGCCACTTAACGCCTTACAGTCTAAATAATCCACAGAGTATATCGGGTTGCAAAAGGGTCACAAAGTAGCAAAGAGAAGCCTAAACACCCAGAGACGTAGCATACATGTCTGCTAAGGAAGAACAAGGTATAGAGCATGCTGACTAATTAAATAAATTCCACTTTAGACCCTGTTCCTTATCCATGTAACCCTGGAAAAATCATCCCATAACAAGAAGTGGACTCGGAAGAGATTTCTGTATCCATTCACAGTAAGGCTTTGAAGATATATGAAGTTTTATAGCATTTGTATTTTAAGGATTTAGGGCAAGTACATGTTCTTCCACTGAATAAAAACAAAGTTAGTACTTAAAAGGTTCAAAAATATATCAATTGTGACTTTTCTTTACATAAATAAATTATATTGATTTTGGATTTAACAGCTGAAAAAACCCTTTCTGCTTCCACTGGAGGCAAAAACTGAACAAAATGTTAGTTAAATAGAGATAGCAGCATTTCTAAGAAATCTGTCGACAGTGATACAGTATCTATGCTACACGAATGTTATTAAATAGACCACAATTATTGGGGGGGGGGGAGGAGAACTGCATTATGATTAGCTAAATCCTTTAAAAAAATCATCCAATCCAGTAAACTGGGAATAAATTCAGTGAAAATAAAAACCAACTGGTTTTATGACCACGGGTAACAGACTTCTTTGAGATGCTAATTTTAACATGTACATAATTTATAATCCCAAATGTATAAAAGACAATGACAAAAAGCATCATAAATAAATAATGCAAACTGAAATAGTTATGTCAAAACATTTGGACCATCCGATAAATTAGCAAAACTGCAACAGAAAAAAAAAGTAAAAAATACAGTAAATTGTGACAACCAAGTGTGAAACTGATGAGTAGCACACTCCAACTCCCTCCCCGCCTGCCCTTCACTCACTGCTGCACCACTGTGGCTTTACTCAATTCTCAAACCATGAGCTGCAAGCAAGAACAACCCCAAGAGAAAGAAGAATTAAAGGAGTGAAGGAAAGGAGAAATCGGAAGAGTTGCCTGTGGAGGAGTCTCAGTACCCAGCGCTGGAGTGGGGGGCTGGCAGCATTAAAACCCATCCATTTGAAATGCAGATGCTGAAATCATTTGGAGGACTGGAAATACTGTTCAACAGCAAACGGAATGGGAAGAAGACAAAATCATCTCTTCACAGTCCACCGCTAGAAAGTAAGAAACTCAGGCTCTGAAAGTCTCAAGGGTCCTTCTCAGAGGACTGCCCAAGGAGGGAAGCTGGCCTACAGCCTTCTCCATTTTTGTTGAAAGAACACCACTTCTGGGGTAAGGAGTGGAAGATATAAAAACTCAGAAAGCCTAAGTGTTCACATAAGATCATTAAAATCAGTGTGGTCTGTTCATGGCTAGAAAAAAATACCTTTAGAGCACCTGTAATGCTATAGCTGAGAACTAATGCCAGAGAGAACTGAAGACAAGCAGAATGATGAAGGAACTGGCTGCTACAGATACAGTAACCCCAGAAAAGTCATGCAAGTGTGCAAAACCTTTCCAGCCCAAGCTGGAAAGTTCCTGTAACTACCAAGGAAAGGGCAACTAAATTCCACATAACATAAAACCAAACGTTGGTTTTAGAAAACACAAAAGAATGTCTACATCGTTTTTTCACTCTCTGCAGTTTGTCTCCAAACCTTTGAGGTGGGGGTGATCAAGAAATTATATCACTACCAGTTATGCTTTTCCTTTCAAAGAAATGAATATATGCATTTTCAATTATTAGTTATATACTTCTGTCTATACTACTATTCTAGTAACCATGATAAAATAGGGAAATACTTTAAATCAAAAATACACATTAGCACTTACTATAGCTGTGCTTTTAGCCCAAATATAGGCTTTTTCATTCAGTGTTGCTGTAGACAGAATTACCCTTGTCTGTGTATGTCAAGAGATAAACACTTTTCTTTTGCTTTTG